AAACTAAGCTGGAAGGGGAAGCGTTTTGAAGCAGCTGTTTTGTAATTGTGTGCGTTTTGGAAGCGCGTGGCTGTGACGCAGGGGGAGCGCTGTGACGCCCTGCGGCGCCGGGAGCCTGGCGTGCACCGGGGCCCGAGTGCCAGAACGTGCTCTGAAAGACACTGCAGGTGGGAGCCGTGCTGTGGCCGGGGAGCTGCTGGAGAAGAACTGGGGGCACCTGCGGGAGCCGAGCACTCCCAGCTCCCCCCTGCATCAGGGCAGGGTGGTGCGAGGAGCAGAGGGTCCCGCTGCCTTCCCTCTGCAGTAGGTGAGAGCAGGGGACGTGCTGCTGGCGAAGGGTGCTCTGGAGCAGAATCGGTCTCCGCGGCGCTCACCATGTGCCATCGAGCTGTGATTTTTCTCTCACTGAGAAGAGCTGGGAGCCGTCAGCAGAAGAGCAGGCAAAGCTCAGGGGTTTGTCTGCATGAGTTCCTTACAGAAGGGAAGAAATGCAGCTGTGTAGAATAAATTTGGAAACCAGGACATTAAAGAGTGAGTCACTTAAAAAGATTCTTGATGTAGTTTCTAAATCCAAGGAAAGCCCAGAAAACAAACAAACTTTCAGATGTCCACATTCCTCTCAGAGGCTGAAATGAAAGAGCAGCTTCCAGCAAAACCCAGCTGAAAGCGGCAGCTCCTGGGGCACAGAAACCTTGCTCTCTCCTTGAGGAGAGGCCTGGTGTTCCAGGCACGTGCGGCCACTGCTGTCCTGCTGATAGACCCTCGTGGTGCCACCCGAAAGCAGCTCCTCCAGCTGGAAACCACGCTGGCTGAGGAGGCTGGAAAGAGCGTTTTCTCTGTGCGGGAGCACGGAGGTGCACAGCGCGAGGCTTCCCGGGGATGAGCTCTGTGTCCGCTGGAGCTGTTGGGCTCTCTGTTGGGTGAAAAAGAAACTGTTCATAGCCAGAGGTTTCCTGGAGTCTCGCACCCTGCCCTAGCTGTTCTGACTTTTTTCCAGGCATTTCCTTTCATTAAAAGTGAGACTAGATTTCCATGGTAGTGTTGTGCTGGCCAGAATGGATAACTTGCCCAAACTGCGATTTTTAGGGTATTTTTAGAGGTGTGGGGTGGACTTACAGGAGAATAGAGAATGAATGTATAGATCTATAGAGAAGTGACAGTGGCACTTACGTACCTCCAAGCTTAATTACGTCAACAGATTTTTTTGGTAGTATTATGTGGAGAATTTCAGAAATTTCTCCATGTTTTGCACTCTGTGCTTTGTAGCTCACCTGTCACAGACAGCATTTTAGGGTTTCTTTGTGTACATGTTGGCCAATTGTTCTGAAAAAAAAATGCGTGGAAAAAAAAAAAAAAAAAAGTACATTTTTGTTTTGAAATTTTAAATTAGTCTGTTGTTTCCATGACGCTTCTGTGATTTATTTATGTTTTTGTTTGCTGCATACCTACAGTCTGAAAAAAATATTAAAAAATCCTGTTGGTGAAAGATAAATGATGCGTGGTTAAACATGGGCAGACGTAAGGGTAAGGTGTGACATGGTTGGAGTTTCCTAAAGAGCCTGGAAATCCCACCACCTTGCATCATGTTACATTCGTTCTGCAAACACCCCAAGGCAAATGTTCTGCTGGCTGAAGCAGGAGAGGGATGCTGTCTGGACTGTCCCTCGTCCCTGCCGTAGCAGGAGTCTCACGCCACTGGGCTGTTGGCAGCTGTGATTTGCAGCTCTTCGCAAGGCACGGCAGGCAGGAGGCTCGTGGGGAGCTGGCACGTGGCGCTCCATCAGTGCTGGCTGGGGTCCGTGTGCTGCTCGCCTCACCGAGGGTGGTAGCTGGACTGGAGGGACAGGGGAGAACTGTGGGAGCAGGGTGGGAGGTGGTGGGCTCGCGAGAGGTGTGAGAAGGTGGGTTCGTTCAGCTGCTCGCAGATGGGGGAAGGTACTCGTGGCTGCTGAGAGGGCGCTGGTTGAGTCGCAGGGGCGATTCTTGATTTGCAGAGGGTCGCTTCAGAACCCAGGATGATGCCTGAAAAGCAGCTTGGAAGATGGCTGGTAGCTGCATCTGAAGGCAGAGCTTGCGTGAAGAGGAAGGCCGGGAGGGCTGGGGGCATGGGGTTTCAGTCCGAGCGTTTGTGTGGGCTGCCTGCCCCGGGCTGCCTCGCTGCGCAGACGGGTGGGAAAGCGCTTGTGCTGCTCCAGGAGTGCTGCCCGTGGGGATGAGTTCCTTCCGTTTCGAGCAGCAGCAAGGCAGTGGGTGCACCACAGCAAACTGGCATGGCTGAACCCCACCTGTGGCATCCAGAGGTCTGGCTGGAATGATCCTCTGCGCGGAGCAAGCCAAGCGCAGGATCGCAGGAGCTGTGGTCCCGCTGTTGCGGCGCATGCAGTAGAGCTTGGCAATTCTGTGTCCGATCCTTTTCGTTGCATCCGATTTTTACGATTGTCGGAGAAGCCCGAGAGGCAGAGGGACGTGCCAGTGCACTTGCACCTGCAGCGACACAAGGTGCATGCCGCAGTAGTCTGCTGCTGAGCGGTAGCGTAGCCG